AAGCTATGTCTAACAAAAATGTGAGCATTACAGATAACTTCGAAATTTTTCTATGTATAGACGATTGTAATCCAAACATTTCTCTACAAAAAGAGACATTCCGCGACTTTGAGTATTTCTTTATCGGCGGCTCATAACAATTTTTGTGGAAGCCACAAGTTGAATTGCGTCATTGGCATAACGTGCATATACAAGATGATATGAGTCCTTGAAATGGGACATATGTCGGATAATTTGGTGTTATCTTCCGTAGTTTTCACAATTACACGAGTGTTTCTATTTACCCCAGAGCATAAAAAAAAAAGATTTTCTGGTTCTGTTGATTATATGCTAATTAGCTGAACGACTTTAAATGATAATGAGCTCAAAACAATATGGTACATAGAGAGAAGTCTGGGCTATGAAATGAGTTATTTTTAAACTAATTATCTCATGGATCTGACTCAAAACTGGTCGGAGATTTTCAAAAGATTTTTACGTCCGTTAACTAGCCGTTGATGGCCTATTTACGGTCAAAAGCATCTCTGATCACGTATGTGAAAAACGGTCCGTTAACTGGCTGTTAACGGCCTGTTTACGGTTTAAAGAATCTAATATGTGTGTGTTTTTCATTTTTCCTCCATCATATTTCACACTATGTAGATCCACTGGAATAAACTGTATGTAAAGTAGTACGTAGGCTTACAAGCTTGAATAGCACTTTGATGATGTTAGTTTTCGAACCGACATGCCCATATAGTTACAGGGACAGACTGGCAAACACAAGTGCTGATGTTCGAATTTCGATATTTTCAAGTAAGCAAAAAAATTATAATGGCGTTAGATGATGTGTATAGTCTAGTAACTAGAGTAGGTCGATTAGTGAGAAAGGGTAGATTCGACAGATCAGTCAATATCACGAAGTCGGAGGAAAATTTTTTAGGAGTTAATATAACTTCTAAAAAACGGCTCGTGCACGTTCTCAAAACAACAAAAAACGGCCAGTAAATGGTAAGAAAACGTTTAGAAAACGATCCGTAAACGGTGAAAACACGATCTGTTTAAGACTCTAAAACGTTACGAGTTTTAGATTCTGAAAACGGTCTGTTTAGGAACTAAAAACAGTCCGCTTACGGCGCGTTAACTTACCATAAACAGCCAGTTAACGGTGCCCTTTTCTTGGACCTGGGTACGACATAGAATGTAGCAAATTTAATTTTCTAAATTCTATGTGCTGGGACCAGATTTTTAGAAACCGTTCTTAATGGTAAAAAACAGTAAATATCATTTTTTACCCAGAAGATCGATCTGTACAAAGCTGAGTGCAGCAGATAAAATTTGGAAAAATAAATTTACCATATTTTTGTCGCCAAACTCCTGCTTTGAAAAACTTCCTTCATGGCGAAAAACTGGAAATTAGGCAAAAAGATAGTGTTTCTGATTTTCCACCATAAAGGAAACGTTTTCCAAAGTTCAGTCTAGAAACAAAAATATGGTAAATTTAATTTTCCAAATTTTATCTGCTGCACTCAACTTTGTACAGATCGATCTTCTGGGTAAAAAATGATATTTACTGTTTTTTACCATGAAGAACGATTTCTGAAAATCTGGTCTCAGCACATAGAATTTAGAAAATTAAATTTGCTACATTTTATTTTGCAAATTAACAAAAATGTTTCCTTTAAGGAGACATACGAGAAAGCAGAAAAGTATGACTCTCTGGCGGTTCGAATCATCTTTTGGATTATAATATAAGTGGGGAAGCTCGCATTCATTTCTAGGTCGTAATTTCTCATAGGTCTTCAAACTAATTTTTTTGAGTTGGAGGAGTTTTAAAAGTAATTTGTTGGTATTATCGATCATTAGACGTAGGGGATTTGCAAAAACTTCCTCGTATGCATCAGTTTTTGCCATGTAGTTCGCCGATTTCCGTGCGTATTTTTCTGGGAGATCCAGATGACGGATTTTTGATTTATCTGTCTGTCGAAAAACAACATTTTTCTCCTTCTGTTGTTCAATTAATTGATGAATCGCGTGATCTTGATTATGATATCCGGTCTGTCCTAACCGATGCTCTATTTCGATTTTGACATGATCAGCAAATTGTTGTAGTTTTGGAATACAAGAGGGTTGGCGGTAAGGCTGGTCATAATATTTTTTTAGTATTTTTTCTTTCATATGCTCAATTTCTGACGGAAGACGTTTCATTACTATCGGTGAATTCGCTAACACATATTTGGGACCTCGATTTAATAACGGGGGATAGCATAGTTTTTTACTTGTGGTGGGAAAGTGAGGTGAGAGAAATGGGCATGGAAGAAAGTGTGTGGACCTTTTTTTGTTAGTCGTTACTGGTTTTCTCGAATTTTTGTTCTAAAAAATGAATTTTCGAGTCGCAGCGGACTTCCTCTATTTCGAATTTCCATTGTATCAGTTCCTCAATTGTTTTTTCACAATTAGCAGGGATAAATTTAATGAATCGTTCGATTTCTTGGTCGATTTTGGCTATTTCTAGTTTTTTAAGGTCCATCATACATTTAACTAACGCACCTTTTGCTGTGACAATAGCGAAGTCCCAATCGTGTTGGATTCGAGCTACTTCGTTGTCATTATTCGGAAGAGGGGTGCGCAGTATGATGTCAAATGCTTTTAGGGACGGTGGGGGAGCTGTGAGGGTGACCCTGGTTTTAAGTTGAGAAAACAGACTATGTTTTTTCTCGTTTAGTTTGAGGAAAATATCACATGCTTTTTCGTGTTCGCTATTATTTTCAACGCTGTTTTTAAGAGTATTGGATAGCTGTTCTATCTTTTGGTTAGCTGTATGATGTCTAATGCGTCTTAACTGGGGATGTAAATGGGGTGTAATCATCGCTATTGTTGTCTCGTTTTGCCATTTTTTTACTTCTAGAACCATGCGTTTTTGTTCACTGTATTTTTAACATAACGATCTGGTTGGTCCTGCTCCGTTGCTTCGGCAACGGATGGAGCTAACATGTTTGAAGAGAGAGGGTTAAGGCCAGAAGCAGAAGGAAGGTTACAAGCTTGAAAAGAGGGTGCAAAAACAGTTTTGATTGTTGACAGTAATTTGTTTTTACCTGCTGGATCGATAAGATGTAGTTTATCGAATAAATCGTTTTCCAATATATCAGTTTTTACGACAATAATCGGTATTGTTGTCGATAGTTCATCGAGTAGTTCGTTATAACGGTCAATTTGTGCGTTAACGGCATAGAGTGAGGGGAATAATTTGGTGGGTTTTTTTCGCGGAAAGACTTTATGAATAAAAACTTTCTGTATCTGAGGAAAACGATATCGGATATTATTATACATCATTGTTATCGATTTAATCATGTCATCAGGATATTTATCTGATAGGTCGTTCGTACCGACAATAAGTAATACTTGTCTTATATCAGATAGGAAGTGTGTACCATCGTTTGAATACACATATTCGATTAATTTGTCGATGGTCGCTCCCGATTGTGAGTACAATTTAATTGTAGCATGTGGTGATTGTAGCTCGTTTTGTCGTATTCGAGACGCCATGGAGTCTGATAATACTGCTACGGTTGGAACTGGAATCAGATCAGCAGTTGTTGTTGGTAATGGCAAAGGTTTAGACTGCGGTTTCGAGTTGACCGTTGTGACTGCATTGGTCGATTTGGTTGCTTGAGGTGTGAGGGTTGGTTGAACTGCTCGTTGGCGTTCACGTTTCTGTTTTTGACTTTCTTCAAATTGTTTTCGTATTTGTTGTTGAACAAAAAGAGGAGGTATATATGCAGGATCGATCGACATTAATGGTGGAGGATTGTATCGATACGCTGTATTTTGCGATGATTTTTGCGATAAACGGATGTTTTCTACTCTAGGAATATGAGAAGCACGGGGTTGGGTAGATGGATTAAAACGCATTCTGGTAGAAGAGCGGGAACGAGAACGAGATTCGCGCGATAGTGGTCGACGAAATTGCGGTGGGGGTATTTGAAGATAAGGTGTTGTTGTCGGAACATTTTTTTCGAGTTTTTTTGTCGATTTATTCTTCGATTTCTTGCCTGACTTACTAACTTTCGTGTTACCATCCACTGTGCTGATACTTCCGGGATGGTAACCGATAGTATATCGTCCATCGCATCATTATTGGAAACGTTACTATCAATCGCAGGAGTAGTAAAAGTAATTATTGACTTTGTTTGAGGAACCGCGTATATCGGCTCTGTTGTTTGAGGCATTATCGTATCTTGAAGTGAGGTAGCGATTGGTGTCCAAAATTCTGTTTTGGCTATGCCAGAATGATAATCGGATTAAAATAATTTATTTTATTTTTCCATCGAAATAATAAAAATTAAAAAGTTTAGTGACCAGTGAGTGTGACGGACGTACATACATATGATCATGTGGCAGTGTGACGGACGTACATACATATAGTGACCAGTGAGTGTGACGGACGTACATACATACAGTGACCAGTGAGTGTGATGGACGTACATACATATAGTCATGTGACAGTGTGACGGACGTACATACATACATATAGTGACCAGTGAGTGTGACGGACGTACATACATATGATCATGTGGCAGTGTGACGGACGTACATACATATAGTCATGTGACAGTGTAACAGACGTACATACATACATATAGTGACCAGTGAGTGTGACCGAGGTACGTACATATGATCATGTGGTAGTGTGACGGACGTACGTACATATAGTGACCAGTGAGTGTGATGGACGTACATACATATAGTCATGTGACAGCGTGACGGACGTACATACATACATATAGTGACCAGTGAGTGTGACGGACGTACATAAATATGATCATGTGGTAGTGTGACGGACGTACATACATATAGTGACCCGTGAATGTGACGGACGTACGTACATATGATCATGTGGTAGTGTGACGGACGTACATACATATAGTGACCCGTGAATGTGACGGACGTACGTACATATGATCATGTGGTAGTGTGACGGACGTACATACATATAGTGACCAGTCAGTGTGACGGACGTACATACATAAAGTCATATGGCAGTGTGACGGGCGGCAATGATCATTTTTCGAAAAAAGTCAGCATTAGGAACTTTTCGAAGTGTGGCAAAAAACCGAGACCGGTTTCTGTTAGAAAATGGTCCAATATGATTTTGAATCAGAATGATCGCAAATGCTTCCATTTTCACTTCCCAACACTTCCCACTCTCAAAAATTCCTTCTGCTGTCTTTCAAACCAAAATTACTGCTCGTTTTTCGCCACCAGTTCAACAAAAGCGATTTACATTTTTCAGTAGTTTCATCATCCGATTTCCCGTATTATCAGCTTTTCTCAGGAAACGGCGATGTACACCTCATTTGATAGAAGAATCCTCGGGCTATTCAAAACAGTATTCCGATTAGTTTCAGCTTTATAAATAAAAAACAAAGGAGTTCTTGTGATTACGAAACACTGTACTGTATAGAGAACACCCAAACGCTTCTTGTACATATCTTTAATGACTGATCCCACCTGCCTGGATATTCTGATCAGCTCACTTTGTAGAGAATTGCAGGGGCTATGCAATGGTATGTTTTCGAAAAATAAATAATTTTTCATTATGCCAGAAAAATGACTAAAGGAGTATTTAAAGCACTAAGGCAAAAATGACGATGTCGGCCAAGTATTTCGACAATTGTGCTATATG